TAAGATAGGCCCTTTATAATTAATTAGTAATATAATTCCTAAGTTAATGAATAAATTAATACAAATATGCAATAGAGAAGGTGACTTCGATAGTGATTAGAAGGAATCCCCAGTGAGTCTAGAGATGACTTTACAGTAAAGCAACAGTTTTAGTATAAATTTTAAAAAGGAGAGAAAAAAAAACAAAACCAAACAAAACAAAACTGGAATACCCCATTGGTAAGCTGGCTACCTGTAATCTATAGAAAAGGTTGGCATGACTGGGCCTTTTGGAAAAGTTCCAGAGAGGACATTATTTAGTTAGCCAAGTGAGGGCCGGAACAAAAACCACTTTGGCCTTCCTTTGTTACCAGAGATCACTCAAATTTCAAATGAATTACTGTGTCCATGCTCAAGATGGGTATATCTCCTAAATATAAACTTTCTATTGAGAAATTCCTGTGGTAAGAGTTTCTGTTCCATATTTTGTACACGGGAGAGTGCCAAAAAGGGGGTGGTGTGATGCTGGAGACAATTAAACTAGGAACATTTCAGGGAATTTGTATGACTGCACTGACATTAGTTTGCCTAAATATGAATACAGTTCCTGTCCTAAGATGTTCAAAACTCAGAGGGATTGAATTATAAGCAAAGTAACATGACTAGAAGAATCTTTTTAATGAGAATTTTTAAATAAACAAAGCAAAGAAACCATAAAGGAAAAACAATGACCAGTCAGCCATATAAAATTTTAAATGTTTCTTTGACTAAAGATGACATAAAAATGTTAAGACAAGGTCACAAAAATATTTTTCATTTTAAATATTGAAGTAAGAGTCACTAGTCAAATGACAATCAAACCATGTGAAGAGAGCAAATACATAATTTACAATAGGAGATTAAAGAATCAAACATTTACCAAAAATTTGTTATTACTCCAGTAATAAAACAATGCTAATAGGATCAACCTTTTCATTTATTAGATGGAAAATGATTTGAAATATTGATATTATACAACTATTAAGTATTCTCGAGAATATAGGTAAATAGTTTCTCATGGATATTCTTTATAAATTGTTTCAATTTTTGGAGATTAATTAGGCATTTTTATCAATAAGAATGATGATAAGTATTTATTATGCATAATATATCGCATATAAGTATTTATTCCATAAGTATTTTATGTTTATTAACATTTAATTTTTACAATGACTCTGTGAGGTAGATATTGTTATTATTCTTCCCCACTTTACAGAGGTGAAAACTAAGTCGTGGGGAGGTCCAATAACTTACCTAGTTAAAAAAGAAAAATTATACAACTAGGAAGCAGAGACAGTGGAATTTAAACCCATATACTTTAGCACCAAAGTTTATGGCCTTAACTTTTCTGTAATACAACCCCATAGTGTTTCATATATTGTTTTTAAATATGCCCAAAATTTTATTTTTATTTGAGGATGGTGAAGCTAACAGCTCAAGAGATGGGGCTATCGAAAGGACAATTTGTTGCTCACAGTTCCCAGAAAGAGTAACATGTCAAACCACACAGGGCCACCTGGGCAGCACCCAGGTCAGGCAGATGTCAGAAGAAGCAAGAGGAAAGCATGAGCCACAGCCTTTGTTATGGTCCTCCCAGGAAGGAATGGGCAAGGCAAGGGAAGCAAGCTGAGCGGGCTTAGGACTAGGTAGCTTGAATAATTTCAGTGGGCTCTGAGAAATAGGGGTTGTCTCTAGTTGCCTGGCACCTAGCCCTGGGATAATTTGGGCAGAGGAATATTGCCTCCTGGAGTGTATGAGCCATATAGAATAGGTGGTTGAGAGTATGGACTGGGTATTGGTTGGTTTGTATATCAAAAGCACACTTTTAGGCAAAAAAAAAAAAAAAAAAAAGGCATGCTTTTGATATATGAACCAACCAATGGTTGCATTTTTGCTATGTCTAGGAATAAGCTAACTTTGGGAATGGCAAACTGTCCTGGCTCAGCAACACTGCAGATGTCAGAGCATCAGTAATACAGAAAATAAGAAATATGCTAATGCACATATGATTTTTTTTGACTGACAAATTTACTATCTAGGGATTTATACTATAGAAATACAGGTGTAAGCAGAGATGTATAACACAGATGCTCAATGCAACACTGTTTGCAACTGCTAAAAACTGGAAACAATATATATATTTATCAATAGCAAGTGGTTGGATTGATTTTGCCCTAAACAGAATGGGTTGTGCTTCTCTTAACAAGAGGAGAGAATAATTATATGCATTGACATGGTAGGCTGTTTCCGACAGTTATATTTACATGAGAAAGGCAGAGAAAGGTGAAAATACTTTCTGCTTCATACACTACTGTTTTGTTTGAGTTTTTGTGAAGAGCCGATTCTACTTTTGATACTTTTGATAAGGATTATTTTCTGTTTCGTATCCTAACAACAGAAGAATGTATTAGTTAATTTGAGTGATAAAGGATTAACTGCAAAGAAAAGATCAACTATAAATCCCCATGCGCACGTACGTTCATAGCAGCACTGTTTACAAAAGCAAAGACCTGGAACCAACCCACATGCCCAATGACGATAGGCTGGACAAGGAAAACGTGGCATATATACACCATGAAATACTGTGCCGCCATAAAAAACGATGAGTTCGTGTCCTTTGTAGGGACACAGATGAATCTGGAAACCATTATTCTCAGCCAACTGGCCCAAAAACAGAAAATCAAAACACCCATAGGCGGGTGTTGAGAACACATGAACACAGGGAGGGGAGCATCACACACTGCAGTCTGGTGACGGGGTGCCAAGGGAGGGACAGTTGGGGAGTGGGGAGGTTGAAGAGGGATAACATGGGGAGAAATGCCAGATGTAGGTGATGGGGGGATGGAGGCAGCAAATCACATTGCCATGTGTGTACCTATGCAACAATCCTACATAATCTGCACATGTACCCCAGAACCTAAAGTACAATAAAAAAAAAGAAAAGAAAAGATCAACTGTGGTGTCACTTTTGAATAAAATACAATGATTCTGGTGTTTCTGGAGGCTGTCAGGTTCTAGCAAATCACTGTTAGAGGTACAGATGTTTCTGAAGAATTCTAACTACTGGCCAAAAACGACAATGGTTCTATAATGTTAGTGGGCATTAAAATCATGTGAAGGGCTTATTAAAACAAGGTTGAGATTCCTGCTCCTCACTTCCAGAATTCAGTATGCAGAGGGTCTGTGGAAGGCCCCAAAATGTGCATGTCTAACAAGTTGCAGGTGGTGCTGATGCTGTCAGTCTGGGGAGCACACTTTGAGAATCACTACCCAAGAGAATGAGCTATTGAAGAGGACACTAATTCAGAGAAGACTTTTTTTTTTTTTTTTTTTTTTTTTTGAGAACGTGTCTTGTTCTGTTGTCTAGGCTGGAGTGCAATGGCACAGTCTCGGCTCACTGCAACCTCTGCCTCCCAGGTTCAAGCAATTCTCCTGCTTCACGCTTCTGAGTAGCTGGGATTATAGGCGTGTGCCAACATGAAGGACTAATTTTTGTATTTTTAGTAGAGACGGGGTTTCACCATGTTGGTCAGGCTGGTCTCGAACTCCTGACTTTGTGATCTGCCCGCCTCAGCCTCACAAAGTGCTAGGATTACTTATGGGCGTGAGCCATGGTCTGCCCCAGACAAGACTTTTTAACAGCTTTGAGTAAAGGCTGGCTCAACTGACCTTGACAAAGGAGCAACTAACCATACCTGTGAGACTGGGTGAACAAAGCCTGCCAGCAGAGGGCAGTGTAAGAAATAATTGGCACCCCAAGTGTGGACAGAGCTATTGTTCTAATTACACCTGACTTAATTGCATGGCAAGAATCCAAAATGACTCACTATTCTTATAACATAGTTGTTCTGAGTGATCAATTACAAGGTAAATATTTTGGGGTCAATCTTCAGACCTGGAATACTCACATGGCCAAGTCATATATTGGTTACTGAGGATCCCAACGGAGGCAGTGAAAACCCGTACAGCTTAAAAGCCCAGTTGTCAGGGATATTATCTGGCAAAAACATGTTTCAAATTCTCTATGTAAGTCTCTTCAATTTCCATGCATATACTCCCTTGTCAAACTTGACTCTATGAAGGGCAACACTAAATTTTACCCCCTCTGCTAGGATATTGATATGAGAGTGATGTGGAATATATTGCTTTGTCATGAAAAAAAAAAGTAGAAAACCCTGAAACTTTGTTCTAAACTTTAGCCAAACTGACTCATGAATTTGATTTTAGTTACCATTTCATGTCAAAAATTCAGGACCAAATGTTGAAAGAAATAGTAGTTATGTTACATTTGTTTTATTATCTCAAATTAGGTTTCTGCCACAAAATATGTTTAGAGCTAGTATCAAAATGGCATCATTATATTGATCTGAATTGCAGAATGGCAAGGAACTGATCATTTAGTTCAATTTTGTCACTTAAAGGTAGCTTTTGTCATGTCAAATGATGGCAAGGGCATCAAAAGGAGCAATAGGGACAAAGGGAATATTGTTAACATATGCTGTTTTATAAATAAAGTCCAAGAATTGAACCACAGTAATTCAAGCTGAAACACTGGCATTTTACATAGAATCGAATATTATCACCAATGTGAAATGCATACAAGATAGAAAAACACATTTCCTATTGTTTTCAATGCTAGTATTTATATTCTACTGTTTTGTGTTAAATGAGAAAGTTGTTCAGCCAAAATCTGAGAAATTAATAACTTTTTAGGTAACTACATCACTTCTTTCTGAAGAATGACATGCCATATTATTTGATCGTAGCAATAATCTAATTGCAATGACTACTTCTTACATCACAGATTTTCAGACTCACTGTGGGATAGCTGGTAAAGGATGTCAATGGTTGGTTGAATAGGGGAAAAGAATAAGGACCAACAAATATGCAGAATGGATAAATGGCATTTACAGATGAACAATATAATTCCCCTCTATTAATACCAAGGACTGAATTACAACTGATATCCTCGCTCTTCACAGATTGGCAAAGACCTTTGGCAGCAGAGGACTGAGTCATTTTTATCTGCTGTGTTGCCATGGGATTCTGCTGCCCTGGAGATTCTTCTGCTGGCACCTGCAGCACCAGCAATGTGCATCACTTGAACTGGGAACTCTCTCAGGGAAGAAGCAAAGTAGACCCACCTGGGAACTTTTCAAAATCAGAAAGTGTCATTTCTGCAATGATTGAGTTCTCTTTTTTCCATAAGTGAGCTAACTAGCTTGATCATTTTTGCTTTTAACCTGATGTCATCAAGAGCTATGTGTGTGTGTGTCTGTGTGTGTGTGTTTAAGTATAACTGACTTCTGATGTATCAATATGACAAATGAATTACTGTATTGACTCACTTCTCTGAGCATAGAATATCAAGATGCATATCATTAGGCTCTGCTATTCTATCTTGCTCAGAAAAACCTGAAAAAATAAAAAACTTAAAATATTCAACATAAACAAATTAATACTAAAAGCATATGTCATACTTTAAATGCCTGAAATATACATATTTTGAATATTAGGGTAAGAGTGAGTATATCTAATCAGGCAAAACTTCCATGAGACAGCATTCATCCATTTATATTTTATGATTAGAGCCCTGGCTGAAATTTAGGTTTTACTTTCGATAAAGAACATTTTTCTTAGAATAATATCATAAGACGAAAGAGGGATGTTTGAACTTATTAAAAATATGTAACTCTTCAAATATGCTAGAACAACTTAGAAGAATTGATTTACATTTAAATAATTTATATATTTATGTCACTATTATCTGTCTGATACAATTTTACCAGTTATTCTCTAAGAAGATTATTCTACAACAATTCATTAACATAATTCGAAAAATTCTCCGCACTTAAAAGTCATTCAACATTTCTTTAGGATTTATATTTTACACAAATTTATGAACAGAGTAGAGTAATAGAACTCAGAGCTCAATACTTTGTTTCTTTACAATTCTATGAAAAATGGATAATTTTATGAACATTTAAATTTTTTGATTCAATTCATATTTATGGAATGTTTACTATGTGCCAAACGGCATTAGTTGCTGTGAGAAAGACTGAAAGATGTCTATACAATGTACAATCTTTACTTCTTCCTGAGCAGAACTCTGTCTTCTACTGGGTGCAAGAACGGCAGTGCACCCAACTGAGAAACTGCATTTTCTAGCTTCCTTTTCAGATAAAGAGGCCACATGACGAAGAGCTGGCCAGTAAGTTGTAGCAGAAGGTGTAGGGTGAGCTGATTTGGCTGGATGTCAGCCCTCCCATCTTTCTTCAGCTTGCTGCTTGGAACAAAAAATTGAGGGCTGGAGCTCCACAATAAAAGTCAGCATTTAAAAGAGAGCGAGAGAGAGAGAGAGAGAATGAGGGAGAGAGAGAGGGAAGAAGAAGGGAAGGGGAGGGGAAGGAAGAGAGGATAAAGAGAGAAAGAGAGAGAGAGAGAGAGACTTACTATAAACAATTGGTCTCATGAGGTTATGAGGGCTGACAAGTCCCAAGATGGGCCATCAGCAAGCTGGGGACCCAGGAGAGCCAACTGTTGGACTTCAGTTCCACTGTGAAGTCCAACTGTCTCAAGTCCCAGGAAGAACTGATGTTTCAGTTTAAGTAGAGAGAAGACTGAAGTCCCTGCTTGAAGGCAATTCTTGAATGGTATTTCTCTCTTATTTAGCCTTTTGGTTCTATTCAGACCTTCAACGGATTGTAAAAGGCCTAGAAACTTTAGGGAGGACAATCTGCTCTACTCAGTCTACCGGGTTAAATGTTAATCTCATCACAAACACCCTCAGGCACACCCAGAATAATACTTGACCAAATATCTAGGCCCTCCATGGCCTAGTCAAGTGGACACATAAAACTAACCATTACAGTGATAACTGACCATACCACAGCAGCCCTGAACCATGTGCTTCTACATTTCCTCTGTGTGGAAGAGGAATAAATAAATCTCTACCTCTTTAAACCCACTGTTGTACAGGTCTCCTACAGCCAAATGCAATTTCTAACTGATATAGTGACTACAGCCACATAGGAATATCTGAATTTCCCACAAATACTTTAGAATTTCAAACATCATTTCACAAGAAATGCTCAGCAAATACATTCTAATGTTGATATCTAAGATCAGGACAAAATCTTTACTAAACTAATTTATGTGACTATAATCCATAAATGTAACCATAAGTTATAAATATTTTTTCTTACTGAAAAACATCCCAGTTTTCTTTCTTTTTTGTTGCTTTTCATTCACCTCACCTGGATAATTCACATTCACCTTTCAGAATTACGTGTCAACCCTTTCAGGGAGTCTTCCAAAGGTGAGGAATTTCTCCCAAATTCTCCATTAGCACGATGCACTTGCTATCTTCTGTTATTTTGAGTACTTAGTCTTCTGGTGAGTTCTCAGTGAATTAAATTTATGTTTTATTGAGGCTTCTTTTCTTATAAATATTTGGGACCTTGTGTGAGGAGAGCAAAGTTAATCTTACTTCTGAGTTTATTGCACATTATCTCACTTTGTTCTCACAAAACTATTCAACACCTAGCACCAATTTGTTTACTCACTTAAACCCTTTATCTCTATATACACTCCAGTTTCTCTCTGCTTTACCACAGGCAACGTGTGTAATGTCTCAGATGCACCCTCATATTCACACATGTCCTTGTAAATTGTTTTCTGTTTCATGTGCATGTATTTAATTTTTTTATTAAAGGTTGCTATGTGTATTCTGTGTCTTAATTTGTTATTTAATTAAATATATTCTGTGTTTTTATTTGTTTATTTAATACTATATTTTTTAAATCTGTTCATGGTGTCATGTATATATGTAATCAATTGCGTCTAATTAGAGCATAATGTTCTCTTTAATACAGCTTCCACAATTTGACTATTTGTCCTCACAAGGATATTTTACTGGTTGCTTCCAAATTCTTATCACCACAATAACTAAATAACAAGCATTTATTTATAAGTCACTTTAGAACTTGTGAGAATTTGTGTGTGTGTGTGTGTATGTGTGTGTGTGTACAATGGATGTGTGTACATATATAATATATGTTTTATGTATATATATATATAGATATATGTGTGTATGAATGTGTATAAATATAACTCCCTCCTAAAAGCTGCATTGCTGGGTCACAGGAAACCCATATGTTTAATTCGACTAAGTAGTCCAAATATACTCTCCAAAATAGCTGAATCTCTCCCCTCTCCTACCAGAAGTATATGAAAATATGGATATGCCAATGTCCTTTCCAACACTTGGCATTACTTACCTTTCAAATTTTTAGCTTTCTAGCCATATAAAATGGCATTTCGTTTTTCATTTTGTATTTCTCTGGTTACTCATATATTTAAAATTGATTTTACATACTTCTCGGCCTTTGGGGGGTTCTTCTTTTCTATATCATAGTGCATACTTATTTTAGGATTTCTGCCTTTTTGTTAATGTTGATGATTTTCAGGAGTTTCTTGTGTATCTTATATATGAAGAAATTTCCAGAGTTAGACTTAGACATTTGGAATATATTCTCCCATTTTTCCACATGTCCATTACCTAGTCCATTAAATCCCTTACTGAACAGAAATATTTATTTTGATGTAAAACAGTCAATAGTTTACCTTATAGTTTGTACTTTTTGAAGTTTTGTTTACAAAGTTATTCCCCACCTCATCTCTTAGTCAAAAAGAATTCTTTTATATTTTCTTTTACTAAATTTCAAGGTTTTTTTTAACATTTTGGTATTTAATTCATCTGGACCCTACCATTGGTTGTGGTAATAGGTAGGAATCCAGTGTTATTTTTTCTCCACATACTTAATCAATTTTCCCAAGGTCGTTTTCTAACCGACTAGTTTTTCCTTATTATTTATGGTGCCCTATTTATTACATGTACATACATGTTTTATGTATGTATATGTACATGTAATAAATGAGCTTTTTATTATATCTTATTGTGTGTTTGCGTGTTTTAACCATTATTATTCGTCATGTCAATCTCTATATCCTGAGAGTCTGATAGAATGCCTAGAACTATTGTGTAGAATAAATGACAATGACCTATTTATACTAAAGCCTTTTTATCCGGTGTCCACTTAACATAATTGTCAGATCAAACAGATCTCTCTTCCCATGTTAAACATAGCTTGATGCTCATGGTCTCTGAACACTCACAGCTGAAATTCCACTCGCTCCTGCATTTTTGTATCCACCAGCCAAATTGTATTCCGATAAGCATTAGGTGTCTTAGTTCCCAAAGTGTTTATGCCTACTGTACTTATTGTAACTCTACAATTTAAATAGAACATAAACAAATGAAACGGGAGTGCAAAGAGTGAATTGTTTCAATAAGAACGATTTTTGAAGTATTGAAAAAAGGAGAATTGTTAAATACTTACTGCAAAAGAAGTGTGGGGTAGGCGACTTTGAATGATCGGAAAGGATGCAAATAATAAAGATACAGAAGAAATATCCACTCAGATGGCTTTACATTCTTGTTAACTTGAGAGTAGCCAAAACCAGAAAACACAGATGATGTCTTATGAACATGTTCCATGTAATCCAGGTAAATTAGAATTACAAACAAGGTATCTGCATCCAAAAAAAATGGCCCCTAATCAAAAGATTGGCACAAGAATATATATGTATATATATATATATATATATATATATATACACACACATATATATATGTTTATATATATACACACACATTGAAATAACATGTATGAATCATTATCATAATTATAATTTTTATAATTCCTTGTTTTAAACAACTTTGCCAACTTACTTATTAATTATGAGATTGGATAAGAGACCTATAAGGCAATCATGTAAAGGGAGTCACAGGTTCTAAATAAGCGCACATTCAAACTTTGGGAACAGATTTAGAAAACTATTCTCCAATAATTTATTTAAATCATTTAACTTTTTTTCCTTTGATCATTAAAATTAGAGGTACTAGGGTAAAGATTACATTGTCATGAGAACTGAGCACATACATACATCTTTTCTACTAATTAGTTTATTTTTATTTTCTTTTTTGAGATAGGATTTTGCTCTGTTGGTCAGGCTAGAGCGCAGTGGTGCTATCAGGGCTCACTGTAGCTTTGACCTACTGGACTCAAGTGATCCTTTCACCTCAGCCTCCAAAGTAGCTGGAATGACAGGAGCATGACATCATACTCAGTTAATTTTCAAATTTTTTGTAGAGATGGGGTTTTGCCATGTTGCCTAGGCTGGTCTTTAACTGCTGGGCTCAAGTGGTCCTCCTGCCTTGGCCTCCAAAAGCACTGAGATGAGCCACCACATCCAGTCTACTACTTAAATTTTTTAGAAGAAAAAAACCAGAATAGCAGTTACAAATAGAAAGAATACTGCCAGCTCCTGGGAAATTTTGAGGAATTCCTGAAAGATAGGAAGCAGATGGAGTCAGAATGTCAGAGAAAACAACAGCCAGAACACAGAGATGAGAAAATTACTTTTAAAAGCAATTTCACTTATAATCAAAGCTCAGAATCAAAAATCAAGAGGAGTTTAGAAAATAGTCAGGGTAACTGAAATACCAAATTTTGATTAGCTGGGCCAATTTGACCCCCCTTTGCCCACTTACATTAAACAACAGGAAGTAGCTATGAGTCTCCCAAGTATCCTTTTTGTAAACTACATTCAAAGAAAACCTAGATCTTTAATAACATGAGTGATCTTTCAAGATAAAGTTCTTCACACTACTGTTGGGAAAATAGAGGAAAACAGTGTAAGGCCTAAAAAAAACTTCACCTATAAGGAAACTGAAGAAAGAAAGGAAAGAAAGGAAAAAAGCAAGCAAGCAAGGTAGAAAGAAGGAAAAAAGAAAGAAAGAGGGAGAAAGGGATGGAGGGAGAGAGGGAGGGAGCGAGGGAGAGAGAGGGAGTGAGTGAGGCAAAGGGGAGCAATGGACTTCAGTGTGCACATGCTAAAGCCATAAATACATTACTTCCTGAAGTGTGTATTTTTGGCATAAAAGGCTCCCGGAATAAATATTAGGCCTTGAAAAGTAGGAAAGTACCCCAACTAATTTAAGACTACTGAATTAGCAGAGAGCTCCCACACTCTGAAAGAATCTTTACAAGCTGGCAGAGCAGACCACATTCCTGTCCTTTCAATTTTCAGAGAAGCCTACTTTAATCAGAACATATGTTCACAAACAGTTAAATATTGATTATCATAAGCAAATATGAACCATCAGCAATTACTGAGGATTTAAGAAAAAACATCACCAGAAAAAAGAGTCCTCATATTCACTAAATAACATTATGACCAAGCAGCAGAGTGAGAAGAATAAACAGAAGACAACTGACATACAGGTACAATTTACATCTCAGAGAGGTTTTAGATGATAGTGCATTTATAAGACAAGAAAAGGATTTCATGAAAACGAAACAGAGATCTTAGAAAAACATGCTCACAGAAGTCAAAAATAAAAGCAATTCAATAAATGTGCTGAGTGGTACATTGGGAATAGCAGAAGATAGAATGAATAAGCTGGAATATTTCCCTGAGGAATATTGTTGGAATGAAGAAGGAAAGGACAAAGAAATGGAACACATGTAAGAAAAGTTGAGAGATCTTTATACTACGTATATGCATTTGTATCCGTTTTCATTTGGTCATTACAGCCACTTGGTAAGGTGGATTTAATTACTGCTGTTCATTTGGCAGATGGGGGAAATAGTGTCACACAGCATCCTATATCAAGTCAGTAGTACTGGGCAGTCTAAGATTTGAGTCTCTTAAGCCCCACCTCAAGTTCGTTCTCTCATTGACAGTATGTGGACTATTATTGAGCTCAGATAACTAGTAAATTCCTGTTTTTTGTTTTTTGTTTTGTTTTTGTTGTTGTTGTTTACATTATAGTACTAGGACATCCAAGAGGAGAGCATGAAGATGCTATATCTCAGGCAAAGTCAAGGAGGCTGAAGCCCAGAGAAGTCTGTTGGATTTGGTGACTGATAAACTTTAAGAAAGGTTTCATCAGGGCTATGGTTCTCATAAGTCAGTAGCACTATTGGGAGCAAATGAGCTTCCTGAATTCTGGGCTTCATCTTCAGAATTACAATTCAGGTAGTGTGTGTGGCTTCAGAATCTCCAGGTTAATGGGTACCCAGGTAATTCAGAAGCAAGTTCAGAATTGAAAGCACAGAGTGTAGGATTTGGAGAGGTCAAGATGGCTAGAATTTTCAAGATGGAAGGCCAGAAAAGAGAGAGAGTTCTGAAGACATAGAGCTTTTCTCAAGTGTAAAATCTGTCAGCACATTATTGTAAGCAAATGACTGTAGTCTTGTGGGGGAAAAAACTCTGAAGCAGTTGGAAAAATTTCTGGAGATTACACGAAACCAGAAATAGTTCATGACACACTAGCCAGAGTGAAATATTTTTTTAATACAAAGGGCACTAATAGAGAACTCAGAAAAGTATTGCCTCAGTAGTGAAGCCAAATTAGCCCTAACTCAAAGAGCGGGCATGTATATCTAACAAACTGAAAAAGCAAGCCTCAAAAAGATCAATATGTTTCCAAGTAACTTAACTATATCCTAAAGCAGAACTCGAGGATATTTAAAGAAATATTCCTTATTCACAAAGGACTGTAACAAGAAAAATTAACTAGTGGAAACAGATCCAGAAATTACACATATGATAAAATTAGTAGATAAGGACATAAAATCTGTTACTATAATTATAGTCCATATATTCAAAAAGGTAAAGAAAAGCATGAACATGTTAAAAGAGATGCACAAGTGTTAAAAAGACAAACAGTACCTCTAGAGCTAAACACAATATCTAAAAAATGAGATTAACAGTGGATTAAACTCTAGAAAAAAAAATTAGTGAATTTAAAGTTCTAGCAATGATCAAAAAATAAAATATGGAGAGAAAAGAGAATGGAAAACATGAATAGACCATCAGCAAACTGCAGCCCCACTTTGAGCATATATGTGGTTTGCAGGCCCTGGGTTGAAAGAAGAAGACAGAAATATAATTGAAGAATTAAGAACAAAAAAATTCCAAATTAGATGAAAATGATCCAAAAAGTTCAAAGAGCTCAAACAAAAGAACTTGAAGAAATTTACACGGAGGCCTAACATAATTAAATTGCCTATAGCCTGTAATAAAGAGAAAAATTTTTAACACAGCCTGAGAAGAAAAGACATATTACATGCCAAGATATAAAGATAAGGATGGCATTAGAGCTCTCATTAGAAATAATGCAAGTTAGAAGAAAGTGAGGCATCATCTTCAAAGTACTGTCATAAAACAAGAAGGATAAGGCCTTTCCTATCTTTGTGTCAGAACCCAGAATAAATGCCCAGAAAATGGTCTAATAGTTTTCAAATAAATAAGTGAAAATGTAGGCCTTTTTAATCCAATCAATGGTGTAAGGAGTATAGTTGTGCTTTTACAAGTACAACAATCAAAATTCAGAATAAAGTTATAAATGTGAATACCATGTATCACTGTACACTTTTGCAATGTTATTTTGATACATAAAAATATTTAAAAACTATTAAGTTATAATCTATAGGGAGAAAAGTAGAAATGATGAATTAAAGCAAAAAAAAAAAAAACATTTTTTAAACTCTTCTCCAAAATGAAAGGTGGTTAATATCAAGTGAAAGTCCCCATATACAGTCTGGCATTCAGCTAAATCCACTCATTCTCTACCTAGATCTGAATGCATGAATGCATTTCCTTTCATTTCCTCTCTTTTCTTCATTTTCCTCGCTGGGTCTATCCTTTCATAAAAGTCACCAGAAAGAAGATGAATATCCATAGAAGCAAATTCCCAGAGGGTTTCAAGGTCCCCAGAGCTGTTGTTAACCTCTCTCATAGTGCAGATGGCTGGGTGCAAACTCTCCCATGCAACCCAAAGGCCCAGCAGTAGAGTTCAAGCTCTTATGAATAAATCATGCTCCACCACTCAATATTCTGGCCCTGGGTACTGGGTAGCATTTGTCATTCACCTGAGTCCTAAACATATAATTATAGAATTAAAGAAATTTTTGATTATATATTCCTTAGGAACCACCTGCATACAACACTTGGGACTTCTTGGGTATAGGCACATGTGTGCAAAGAATTATAAACTTGTTCTTGGTATAATGGCCTTGACAGTGACAGAATCTCCCGCCTGCCCTCTCAATGAAATGATGCATTTGACTCAACAATAATTAGCATCAATTATGGGACAGCCTTTTTGAGGACTGAGTATGGTCCTCCCAGGCTGCAGGTGCAGAATTATCCGCATGACCTTTTGCTCCAGGATCAGTCATCAAGGAAAGGAGTGGGAGCCATCAGGAGGGAATCGAAGGCTGTTTATCTTCCCTAAGAATCATTGTCTGGCCTCTGCTATTCATGTCGGCAGCAGCAGTTTCCTCTCGGGAAACCTATAGGAGAGGCTGAGATGCCTCATCTGCGTGCTTGCCTGCTGGAGCCTTGCAAAGAGGCACCTGGTTTTATTTTCTGGGTATCTTTATGCTCATTCTCAAAGAAAGAAAATCCATTTTATTACAAGAAACAAAAACATAATGGAAAGAACACAGGTGGCTGAAGGC